ACCTTAAAAGTCGCCAGCAGTCGGCCCAGTGAATTAAGTTATTTTTTTCTCAGACTCCACCTTGTCACAGTCAATAAAACTCTCCACGGTATGAACAGTGGTTATATGAGCCTCAAAACCAGCCACAACTCAGCCCTGAGCAGAGTGACCGTCCTCTATTGACCAATCAACAGACTGCAGTGTTCACAGCTCCACCTTTTAGTATCAGATCTGTGTGCTAGGTACCCCAACAGAGGGGCACCAAAAATGGGGACGATACGGATGGTTCCATTGGTACCATCCACACCTTTTCACAGTGGAATCAGAAAAAAAGTTACCAAACTGAACTGAACCGTACTGTTTGGTGGAAACGTAGGTTGCTTAAGGTAACAAAAACGCAACCCAACTCTTATTTTCAGGTGATTATACACAAACAAAAACATACTCATTGTATTTTATTCCAGTTTTGCCAATATATCCCCTTTAGTCCTACACTGGACCTTGGAATTTAAGCACTCACAAACGTGCATACACTTAAACATGTGCACATGCACTCCTTCATGCCTCTACATGTGGATTTGCGCACACATTCACTCATGTCTGGAAGACAGATCCCCTGTTTGCCAAAAGGAAAGAAAAATGGAAAACCCCAAGACAGACCCTCCATCATTTTACCATCAATCAGTGAAGACACGCTGGACAGAAGTTCTCACCTCCAGGAATTATGTTGCAAATTCAGGAGATTCCCTGGCTTAAGAGGAGCTTTTATCACGCTGTGCCAGAGCTTAAGTGAGTGTCATTACCACAGATGGAGGCTTGAACTGCACGGAAATGATTTCAGAGAGCGCTTCTCAAGGGTGCTGTTAGATATTCTGGTAATATCATCAGGAAAGGTTGTGGTCATGAAGGGTAAAGTGTAATACCTTGTTAATTACATGTAACCATTTCATCATATTTATAGCAGAGGAGTTGCTACGTGACGGCCCCTGGCAGTCAAACTTTGATTTAACATTTTGTTTTTGTTTTCACAGAGCTAGACATGTTACAAGACGCAGTTTTTCTTTTGGTAATGACTTATGGAAGTCTGAAACTTGACATTTAACATGAGAGGAGGGTGTATGTGGGGGTGGGGGTCGGAGGGGTGGGGGAATTTACTTGTTTACAACCACATTTTTTCCTAACTTTGATAGTTAACAAGGGTGAGTAAGTGCACTGTCAAGTGTGGTTTAAACCCATAGTTTTCTTTCACAACACATCTCACACTGTTCTCACAAAAGCCAAAAAACACCAAATTACAGGCACATTAATACACAAGTGCAACCATACTACATAACAACAGAGTAAACATAGTGACAAATACGGATAAGACATTTTCATATTTGGGCTTGAGGGCGTAATTAGGCTAGTTTGGAGGGACAGCTGTTTCTGGGAATGACTTTGGTTGGACGCTTGACTCCTGTCACAGTTTTGAAATCCTGTCAGTCACTTCCATGAAGCTCAAAATGGAGCACAGGAGACACTGATAGAGAGGCATTATTTAGATTTAGAAAAAAATGTTTCACGGGTGATCTGACCACATGTGGACAGATCTTAACAGAAGCATGAATTCAGCAGAAACACTAGAACACACTGGGATCTGACTGAATCCAAAGCTCAGCAGATTTGCTTGTGACCCGGTGCGTGCATGTGTGTCATCTGTGTCCGGGTCTCATTTCACATCAGCCTGTCTCAGACGAGGTGAACTCAAGTGCTTGCCCCAAGGCCAACGACAAATCCAGGGATCACTTTCCAGGTGTCTGCATCAAAGCAAAGAGACGGCGTGGGGCACGGTGATTTATGCACCCGACAAGTTTATTTCTACACCCCAAAAAATAACAGAAATATTTGTCAGGTGACACAGATGGTTTGTCTAAACAGGCCGACAGGAAGTCAAGGTGCAGATGACACACAGACTGATAATTTGGAAAGAATGTGAAGGTTTTACTCAGGTGATTGGCATCCCACTGAATCATCAGTGAAATTTAGAAAGTGTACAAATACTAAACACTCATCAGTCTTAATCACAGCTGTAAATGTAACTACTGTTAGATTTATGGATGAAAAATGTCATTTACCTGTAACAATATTTAAGATAATTTTGGCTTTATTTGCCCAATAAATGAACAAAAAATGGTCTGATCCTCTTAAAGAAAGTGTAGTGTTTATCTATATTGATTTATTTAGAAGTAATTGATTCATCAGTCTATAAATTATGAAAACATGCGATTAAATTCCCATAAAAACTTCTCCGACCCTACAGTAATGTCTTTATAATGCTGTAACAATTTAGTTTGGCCATCTGTCAACAAACTGAAAGGTATTTGATTTACAATGATGTGAAACAGATGACCTTTGATGGTTTGTCTTGTTTGGCGTCAGGCACCTCTGTGAATCATCTTTACAGCATTCCCACATGTTCACACACTCTCTAATCAGATCGCAGTAATCTCTCCACTGCTTTACTCATGGTCGTGGATACAAAGAATGGCTCTGTTTGGTGGTCAACATCTGAAGTCCTGGTGTACTGGCACCAGAAGTGAACAAGCCCAAACGTGTCTGTGTTCTGGTCTGGGGATCGCAGTCTCTCAAGTCACACAATCAGTTACTGGAAATTAATCTGTGGTCACTTTGAGACAGTTTCTTCATGTTAGAACAAAATAAGCAGATACATTTGTATGCAAGCAAAACACCCATTTACAAAAACACAGTGATAGATGCAATTATACACACACACACACACACCCTCACACACTCAAATCAGCACTTGATCCAACTCAGTGCAGGAGGTTGATGTGGGTGAGTGTTTCCAATCAGACCAGTCCAGACTTCACGTTGTGGGAGTTCCCCTCGATCTGATCACACACACACACGAGTGAGACAAAATGCTTTTGTTGACTTAAACTCAGCAATTCATTAATGTGGACTGGAAGTTGATAAGTTCAAGTTTGTTTGTGTCCCACAGTTTCATGCAAATAAGATTTTAAGTGCTTTACAACTAAGAGCTATAGAAACAGGAATGAATAAAAGTAAAGGAAACTGAGACCAGAACAGAATTAATTTTGTAAGTCTCAGATCAGCACGGCAGCTCCAAAGTGCTTTAGATGCACAAATGCTTAAATTTATTTCACTGGGGGGGGGCATGAAGCGGACAGGTGCTTTGTGACCTTAAAGACCTGCAGGTTTCCCCACATTTAGTGCATTTACTCACATCGCAATTGACCCTTTGCTAAGTCCTGCCCCCGGAAACAGACTGGCAAATCATATCATAGCATTGGCCCGGCTCAGACCAGGGTCCGACAACAACACAGCTGTGCTCCATTGACTCTAATGCAGTCGTTTCAGATTTCCTTCATTTTCAGGCTGGTTTTGTGGATTTGGAGCTAAATGTTGTGCCTGGGGCACGTCGTGAATTAATGATACTCGTTACCTGGAGAGGTTGGAAAAAGATATACGTTTCTTCCCTGTTCCAAAACCAAAATCAAACTCTGAAAAGTGTAGGGTTAGCTAGCTAGCTACTGAAGATATAGCCTACTGAATGTATACACATGCTGCTTTTGCTTTTTAATGATTATAACAAAAGCCGACCCTGCTGTACAGGAACCAGTGAAGGGAAGCAGGGAAACTTTGCTGATATTCAACCAGCTGTGTGTCATCACAGTGTGTGCAGATGAACAATGTTTGACTGGCAGCAGCACAGGGGCAAAGAACACCATTCATCTGCACACACTGTGATGCCACACAGCTGGTTCAATATCAGCAAAGTTTCCCTTTATATTCATTGTCTTGTGTGGCGATCAGCAGTGATGTGGTGGTTCACTTTTACACTGTGATCTGTAGCCTATAGTTTGGCTTTAGCTTCTAACTATCTTTGTCTTTTTAACCTGTTGTTGCTGCTGAGTCAGTTTGACATCCTGGATATATCCTTCAAACACAGACTGTAGACCCCTCTGTCTGCTTCTCTCTGGAATCACTGTTTCATTTCTCCAAAAATATGATAATATTTCTTCAGGGAGTGCAGTTAGTTACAGTGTGGGCTCCATGCTTACTCTGCCAGCTTGTTGGATCATCATAAAGGGGCGGGGCTTAGTGAAAGGTCAGTTGATGTCTTATGGGTGCTTCTGGCTAGTTCTGTATATTTACTCAATTACATGTACTTTATGTCACTGCCAGCACATGTCCAAAACCTACATTCCTCATATCTTGCATGCAGCCATTGGTTTTCATTCATTTCACTATGGCAGGGCTCTCAGACATAAATTACTCACAGGCCATAAGCCAGGTTGTTCATTCCTGGCAGGGTGCACTTAAACACTTGGTGGTGATTTTTGACAAACGTTAAAGTAAACATAAACCATACTCCACACTGAATCGTATATATCTACATGTCTAGCAGAGTATATATCTACATGTCTAGCAGAGTAATGTCAGTGACATTGTCCAGAATTAGGTAATTTATATGTAATAATTGCTAGAAAAATAATTTATTGCTGTAAAGACGAATCCAAATAGGAAAAACATTGAAAAAAAATTGAAATTTGTGAGGCAGATGTAATAATGAATTCTAAACTTGTAGGGGGTCTTATGAAATAGTCTTGTGGGTTGGATCTGGCCTGCCCTGTGGTGTAAAAATCAACATGCAGAGGCCTGAAACTGGCTGGTAACTGGTTGGTTGCAAAACATGCCACATTATTTATTTCACAACCAGAATTTTTACATATTGTTTATGGTTTGGGCTAGAGTCTCTGGCAGCGTAGCTCATGAAAACAGGGTTGTTCAATAGCTGACTCAGGTCTTAGATGTAAGATTTTCCCACCAGCTCATGAATGCATCAAAGTGGCAGACCTCCAAATCAATCCACTGATGGTCTGCTGTAATGTAAAGTAAATGTGCGAAAAACATAAGGTAATACTAATCTATATTCTTTCTGTCTCTTTTTCTATTTCTTTCTTTGTTTCTCCCCCTGTGTCTGTATTGCCCTCTAGTTGTGAACCAGGAGGGACAGCCTCTCATCGAGGGGAAGCTGAAGGAGAAGCAGGTCCGCTGGAAGTTCATCAAGCGCTGGAAAACGCGCTACTTCACCTTGGCAGGAAACCAGCTACTCTTCCGGAGAGGCAAATCAGTACGTAGCCAGTGAAAGTGAACCCTCATCACACATGCACACCGTCTCTGGCCTCTCACACAGAAAATCTTCATTAATGTTTCCCTTTTCCGTGTCATTTGAATCATGATGAAACTGTATGAAACAGTGGAAATCTCATCTCGTGATAAGCTCAACTGTCCCTCAGGAGCATCTGGTGAATCCGAGTGTAACAAACTTTGGCCCCGGTTTGGACTCTTGGGGAATTCCCAAGGCCAAATCATGATGCTGCAACAACATGAGTCACTCTCACCCACTATAACTCGAAGCAGATATCATTACGCACAAGTAGCAAACAGAGCAGGAGGTGCTGCCTCGTGCAGTACGTGTGTACGAGTGAGAGAGAGACCAATTTTATCCGAGCAAAGGTGAAGAGATTTTCCTCCGGGTTGCAACAACAAAGTTTTTACTCCAACTTCCCCAAGTTTGCTTGAGACTTACTGTAAGGGTCGAACAAAGGCTGAGGTCACAGATTGGAGTTATTGTGCAAAGGGAAAGTTTGTTTAATCAAAACACAGAGTGAAAGCAGCACAATGAAAAATCTGCTGAGGTCAGAGGTCTGAAAACGTTTGCTAAAAAATAAGGTTAAGTTTGATTTTATCCAGCTGACGGAAGAAAAATATTGTCAGTCAGCTCGGTTCGTGAGAAAATCAGATTTATTGGGAAGTTTAACTACACCTGTGTGTAGCCGTGCTTATATCTGGGTTTATGGCAGAGTGGAACAATTAATTATAATTGAAATAATTTCCACAGCCAACAGGAGATTGGGTGTCCTCAGGATTTTAGGACATGTTTATACAATCAACTCCAAAAACTAGCACGAGGCACGACATCTCAGTGGAGTATCTGGAAACAGTGGGGTATTCTCTGGTGGCTGAAATGCAGAAGTAGAGTTGAGCTCTCTCTTTTTTTTTAAGACTCCTAACAATAGTCTTTGTGCTCCTAGCCAGATGGTAATGGATTCCTCTCTTTTCGCAGAAGCCACAGATTGGAAAGGTTTTGCGTCTTTGTTCTCAGAACTCGGTCCATCTTTGCCAGCGCGTTCTGGAGGTGGTTGGTATGTTGTGAAAGAGCTTTTCCCAAATGGAGAGTGAGATTGAGATCCAAAAAAATTGTGTTGTTTCCTCCACAGTGATTGGTTGAGCAGCTTTGACACAGTGAGAGGTTTGAAAAATTCCCCAAAACCACACAAAGCTAAGTGTTGTATCTCACTCTGGTATTCAAATTGATGCATGTATTTCCAAGTGAGTCAAATTATCTGAGAAGAATACCACTTCTCTCCATATTACAGCTTACTGCCCTGTGTCTTCCACTTCATCCTCAATTTCCTCCCTAAAGGAAGACTTCACCCACAAAATGATCATTGTACAGCTATTACTCACCCTGTGTCACGTTGATTTGGGGAAGAAATCTTGGTCTTTCCTGCGTGCCTTCATGGTGAACAAGGAATACAAAAATGGAGAAAATTCTTGATGAATTGGAGTAAAAGGGGGGCCGAGTTTAACAACAGTAAAACCTACATCAAAACCTCTTTTTATAAAACTCCCACACAACTCGTGCGGTATAACCAAGTCTAATTTATCCAGATGTATTCTCAGTACTTCCCAAACACATGCATTTTAGCTACAAAACCTCACTACTTAAAACACTTAGGTGTAAACGGTCTCATGCATGGACGAGAGCACGCCAAGGCAAGCACGTGCATTTGAACCCTGCTCAGTGGAATGCACGAGCGGAGTTCAAATGCTCATACTTGTCCATGCTCGTTACTCATATGCAGAAGAGCTTTAAATATAATGTTTTGGCAACAGTGCATGTTGTGCACGAGTTGCGTAAGAGGTTGTAAACAGATGTTTTCATATAGCTTTGCTGTTAGTAAACGCAGTCCCCTTTTCCTCCAATTCCTCAAGAATTTTCCCTGTTTTTGGATTCTTCGTTCATCATGGAGGCATGTGAGAAAGTTCAAGTTTTCGCCATGACTTCAGCGTAACCTGGGGTGGGTAGGTTATATACAAATGGTCATTTTGTGAGTTCCAAAATCCAGCATATCATGTATTTACAAGGTTATTTAACTGGTCTGAAAATAAGAGCAGAAGAGACACAGGAAGCAAAAATGCATGTCACGAAAAGGATGATGAAGATGTGATTTTGAGAGCACAAATATGAATATGTGCAAATATGAATAATAATGAATGAATGAATGAATGAATAATAATCTCAAGTCTTTGGCTTCATACCAGCACCACTGTACCCCAAAATACAAGCTGTCAAATGCAATGAAAGAATTAATTAGTTACATATTTAAGGTACAAAATCATAGTAAAAGAAAAAGTTGAGATGAGTTGTGTTTGATTGATGTTCTAAGTCATTATTTTAGTATTATGAGACAACAGCTTGACGGACTTTCTCTTTAGGGTATCGTTTTTCATAGGCCACATGGCTAATATCAATCACATGTCCAGTTGAATCACTTCATGAATCCACTGACATGAATCGTCTGTGGGAAACATCAGACCCTCAGCACAGCCAGCCGGGGGGTAAAACTGTGAACAAGTCTCTCCCAAACACACACACACACACACAAACTCCAGAAAGGATGTGGGCAGTTGCCATGAGTGTTGCATCAAGCTCTGGTTATGTGGTTATAACCACATAACTAACGATGGAGTCAAAAGACATGGCTGTGGTGCAGTACACACACAACTACACCTCCTCATGCTCACAAACACACACACACACACACACACACACACACACACATTCAAAATGAGACACTCAAAGAAACAGAGATGTGCTGTGGAGGATTTAATTTCCTGTCCTGGAAAAGCAGCAGAACAAAGTGTAATTGTTCATCCTGTGAATGGTTTGTTCTGAGGTAGCACACACACATGTGAAACACTGTGACACAATATTGTGATGCTGAAAACAGGAGGCTACCCCTGACATTGTGGCATGGAGACATATTGATACTCTTAAAATGCACAAAGACCCTTTTAACATGGCTGAAGAGTGGTTTATTTAAACAAAAAAATCACATCAAGCTACAAAACTCATACAACTCTACTGCTTTTCTGTACTTGAATACAAATTTGAGGTACTTGTACTTTACTTCATAACATAAACATAAAATAATCTTATAAAATATCAGACATTACATAGGATGACAAAAATCTAACAGTATATAGAAAAGCTGAAATGTCAACCAACATCAGCATTAAAATGATGCTTACATGTTTATGTATCAGTAATGATAATCAAAATACATAATATCCAACACTGACATATTTGGAATTTTTTTGAGAATTTTTACAAGATGGTTTTGACTTCTCTCGTTGTCTGTCCTCCCCACAGAAAGACGAGCTGGATGACATCCCTATTGAGCTGAGCAAGGTCCAAAGTGTCAAGGTGAGGAGTTATATTGTGATCGTCTCTCAAAAACCTGCTGCCAAAACCTTTCGATCGTCACCACTGATCACATGGTTTTGCATTATTGGTGATTTACCTCCTTTTAATCTTTAAAGGAGGTTAATTTGTTGTCAATTTAATATCATCTGTTCCTGTTACAGTGTCCTTTGTGGATGGTCTACATTTTCCTCAATCAGATTTTATACGATTTAGGAAGGCACATCCCCAAATACTACAACAATTACTAGAAAGAAGCAGGCTACATAAAACCAAGTCATATCCATCTCAAAAACGACAGCAGCATCTCTTCCCAGACAGCAGAAGTCTCTTTCTCATCTGTCTTATTGTTTCTCCATAGCTGGTAGCCAAGAAGCGGCGTGATCGCGGTCTGCCACGAGCCTTTGAGATCTTCACTGACAGCAAGACATACGTGCTGAAAGCTCAGGATGAGAAACATGCTGAGGAGTGGCTGCAGTGCATCAACGTGGCCGTGGCTCAGGCCAGAGAGAGGGAGAACAGAGAGGCGACCACCTACCTGTGAGAGCAACGGCAACACAGTCAGCTGACGAGGACACATATTGTACATGTGCGGACTATTGCAAACTCATGCATACACAAACACTGTGTGATGTTACTACACACTATGCTGAGTACTATTTTGTTTAGCTGTACACAACAACATCCACTGCCAGTAGCATAACTTTATATCTGTCATTGGGAGCATACAACGCCTGTCAGAAACAAACAAAAACTCATGCAGTATTTTTTTTCAAGACTTGAAATAAACCAGCAATAAAAGGCTGTATGGTGTTTATCCAACCAGAATGAAGGATGGTTACACCATGGACTTGCGATCCATCTACAGCTGTGGACCATCATAAATGTGTGTTACAGTACATAAGTGTTAAAGACTGAAGTTTCACCTGACTGGATCATACAGCGCGGAACTTTCAACTTCCTCCGCTCGAGCCCAGACATGACTGCGAGCAAACAAAACCAGCATCTGTGGAAACTTGGGATTTCTGGGTTTAATGGTGCATGATGATTGAGATGAATTTGAGGCCAGAGTAGTATTTAGCAATAAAGACTTCATAGAAGCTCCGACCTCATAAGGACTTGAAGCAATAATGAGACTGAACAGATTCTCTTGAAAGGAAGGAAGGATGATGAAGAGGAGCCTAATGGACAGCAGATGGGAAGGGCATTCAATCCTGAAACTGTGTGTGTGTGTGGTTGTGTGTGTCTGTGTCTGTGTGTGAGAGAGTGTATGATGAAGTCTTAAAGGAAGAGTTCAACATTTTGGGAGATGCATGTTTTCACTTTTTGCCAAGAGTGAGATGGGAAGACTGATATCACTCTAACGTCTGTGCTCTAAATATGAAGCTACAGCCAGCTGTTGGTTAGCTTAGCTTAGCTTAGCATAAAGACTGGAAATAAGGGGAAACAGCCAGTCTGGCTCTGTCCAAAGGTAACAAAAGCCTCATACCAGCACCTCTAAGGGTGCTTTCTCATCTGCCCTGTTTGATTCAGTACAGACGAACTCAAGTTAGTTTGCCCCCTAAGTGCAATTTGTTTGGGCAGGTGTGAACACAGCAACGACCGGCCCAAGACCTTCTTGGAAATGTGATCTCTCTCTACTGCACGGCTGTAAAGTTTCTTGGAGGCATGGTTGCGTGGTTGTGACGTTATCGCAGTGACAATATTTTTGACAGACAGACGTATGAACACCTGAAAAAGTACTCACAAAGGTTTCTGTGGTAGTTCCCACTACAATAGGTGTCTCCAGGACTAAACTTCTTCATGATGACTCACAAAGTGAAAACAATACCTGCCAATGTTGTTGCAGCAGGTAACAACGTTATCGTAGCTGGAAACAACTCTGTTGCTGCTGCTAAACATGACAAGTTGGGGTTTTTCTAGTCTCGCCACCAGACAATCAGAGATCTCCGCCTTCTGATAGTCTGGGGACACTCCTTTCTAAAGTGTGTTTAACACACCAGAGAAAATGGCCGGCAACAAAGCAACGCCTCTTGCATTTTTGAAAAGGACACGCCCTCCCGGAAACGTGCGCTCCCCCTTTTCTCGTCTGCAAGGACACAAACACACAGAGAGATTGAAAATGGATGCCGAGAGATTTAACTCTGTTTTATCAAACGTGTGCTCAGTCCACAAGATTGTGGAAATGAAGGACTTACAGCGACTTTGTTTAAAACTTTTAACGCAGTCGGACTATGTTTACGGGCACAAGAGTTCAGCGAGCCACCAAAGGACTGCCCTGCGGATTTACTATTGGTTCTGCAACGTAGGGAGTTTTTTTAAACTCTGAAATTGTATCCGCCCATCTAAACACAAAATCAGGGAGAAAGTCATCAGTCTTTAGTTAAGCAAAGCGTCTAAAGACTGACTTGTGAGTCTAGGGTTTTTCAGGTGTTGTGCATGGGACTATGTCTTGGCCAGGTGCGGTGACTTCCTGGGGTATCTACTGGCTGCCAGGCAACCCCATGGTGACTGCAAGGCTTCGGGATGTCACTGCTCCTAACCAAGAAACAGTCCCGCACAAAGACATTTTCATATTAGGTATAATTATCCATATCAAGTACCAGAACGATCCTCTCCCTTCCTACTTTATCACCCATGGCTGTGCAGTGCAGTTCAGAGCATGCTGCTGGCATATGTAGATTTAGGAGGAGATTGGCGGGGCTGAGAAATGCCTTTGCAACTTTACTCATAAACTGCTACATGGGTTAAATAGCTGTCAACTTTGGTGTTTTGGTACAGTTGGTTGTCACACCTGTTGCGATCTGTACCCGAGTACACATGAACCATACTCCAGACCACCTACTCAAGAAGACTCAGGCATGGATCAATGTCCTATGCCTGGGTATGTGCCTGAATATGGTTCTCAGTGTTCACACTAATCAAACAAACTGGACTTTGTTGTCAAGTGAACTTAGATCCGGGCTCAGGTCCCTGATATAAAAGCCTCCCAAAACTTAATGACCTTTGGACAGAGCCAAGCTTGCTGTTTCCAACTATTCCAGCCTTTATGCTCAAATGTGCTAACCAGCTCGCTAGCTTCATATTTCTTTAATAGACACTTAACGGACATGACTACAATGTTGTCATCATCATTAGCAAGAAAGCGAAAAAGCATGCTTCCTAAAATGTGGAACTGTTTATTTAATATACATATTTTTTTCATGTAAAATATAGATATACCTAATTTATCCAACATTTTAAACTAATTTGTGTCAAGTATTTTTTGTGTTTTTGATTTATTCTCTATTTTTCATCACTAACAAATCTGTTTTCCCCCAGTCAGTCCGCAACAGCTCAAGTTGAGCTATTTAAAAATCAGAAATTTTCCATCCAACATATAAGAACACCTTGTTTAAAGAAAAAACATTCAGACCCTATTTTCTGTTTCTGCTCTTGTACTAAAGTAACTTATGAAGCAAGTCCCCTAAGAGTTAGTGCAGTGGTCAGATTTCTGTTCTGTTGCAATCTAAGTACTGTATGGACCAGGCTATTTTTGGCTTTCCGAACAAGAAACGTCTGCAACAATTCCCTCCGTGTTTTACGAGGAGCAGTGTCAGCTCAACTGTTGCTCAACAGTAAAGTTTGGGCAACAGAGTTCTAAGAAAACAGTGAAGTAAATTAGAGGTTTCCTTGTGGATTTCGAAACTGTGCCAGTCCAGTCATACTGATTTAATTTCGATTGACGATTCAGTGAAGGTTTTTGTTTAGACAGCGAGAGACTGAAGGTGATGTGCAGCAATCGCAACCTTCTTTCCAGAGGTCAGAGTTTAAAAGCTTGTGAATTTTGTGGTCTTGTGTTTAAGCTGCAGATATTGGATACAGTGGAAGTGAGCATCTGACTGTTAACATTTTAACCTCCAGTTTTTCCTCTGATTTCAGTGGACTCAAAGAAGAGTCTCAGTTTCTACCTTTTTACAACTTTCCACTGGTAAAACCAGTCTGTAGTAGTACATATGAATATGGAGCAGTCTTACTCCCTTATGTTCCTCACTAGCCAGGATGCAAATGACAAACATGTTGACCCAGTTAAGCTCTGACTGCCTGCACCAGACAAACATTCACGGTCGGCCGTGGCAAATCAATTATTTCGTATGATGTCTGATTTTGATCTTTATCTGGATCCACATGTGAGGTGTGTGTCTGCCCACAGGTGGAAGCATCGCTCTCCTCTGTGGTATCAAATGCTTTTGGCTTTGGTTAATTACATAAATCGCACTGTTCGGAATACTTTAAGGTGGCCTTAATCTTAACTCGTGTGACAGACAAGGGCATTTTCTTTGGTCTTACCTTGTCGTAAAGCTAAAACCCTGTCAGCTGTGTACTTGCAGTCATAACACTGCCTTTCCCAGCGGGTCAGGTTACCACTGTTTGTACTTTTTGCTGTCCCTGTGCCTCACCCCCTGCATGGCAGAGCTGACCTGCATCTGCTTACATATAATATTATTTACATCATGCCTTTCCTTCACATTTTGATTCTGTCCCCCTCCCCCTTTCCTTTTCTTTCGTTTTTTTTATGACCCACATACACAGCTGGCTATGCACCCCAAAGTCTGGGGGATTTCTCACAATAACTGCAAAAGATGACTTTTTTAGGCTTGCTAGTGGCGTGGCTCTGGGGATGGTTATGTCAGTCTTCCTGTTGGTGTGTCCATCACGTTGGTCCAGGCTGAAATAGCTCAACAACTATTGGATTTAGATTTTGTACAGTCATTCATTGACTTTGCTGACCCCCTGATTTCTCCTCTAGTGCCACCATCAGGTTGACATTTGTCGTTTTGAGTGAAACGTCTCAACAACTATTCCCGTCAGATTCAGCACAAGCATTCATGTCCCTCTGAGGATAAATTCAAATATCGTTTGATGCTCCTTTAAGTTTTAATTCAGTGTGATCATCAGGTTAAAATTTGAGACTTGGATTATACTACAAGAGTTATGTGAGAGTTTGTTTTGCTGTCATTAAATGTGGACCCCAATGACTTTAATTTATCAAGACTTTTTTCCCCATTTTTGGATTCACAAAATTCAACATAAGACAGGGTGAGTAATTGATACACAAGTGGTCATTTGGGGGGTGAACTATTCCTGTAGGCGGCATAGTGGTAAAGTGGTTAGCATTGTTGCTTCACAGCAAGACAGTTCGAATCCAAGGGTGGGGGAGCCCTTCTGTGTGAAACCTGCATGTTCTCCCCTTGTCAGTTTGAGTTTTCTGCGGGTACTCCAGCTTCCTCCCACAGTCCAAAGACATGCAGGTTAATTGGTGACTCTAAATTGTCCATGAGTGTGAATGGTTGTCTGTCTCTATGTGTCAGCCCTGTGATTGTCTGGTGACCTGTCCAGGGTGTACCCCACCCTTCACCCAGTGTCAGCTGGGATAGGCTCCAGTCCCCCCACGACCCCTAACAGGATAAGCAGTTATGAAAAATTAGCTATTCCTTTAAGTATAGCTTCACAGTGCCATCAGCATGGGTGCAGACTCGTATAGTGAAATCAGACATCTCACATTAAGCCAACCATGGTTGCCCTTTTTTCATTTGTCCAAAAGCAAACAAAGTTATGTCAGGGTTAGTGACTCAGGACAAGTAGCTGATGTCAGACATTATCATTTCACAGACACCAGGATTTTCAAACTTATTGACAATTCCTTAATTTGTCTTGCGGAAAATTCCTACCTTTCTGGGCTGAAACAAACAAAAGTATATGTGCTAACCTATACTACACTTTCACACACATATTACTTGACTGCAGCTGCTGGCGAGCAAACGTTATGTCCACTGCCACCCGTCGGTGAGGTTCAGAAAGTCCTTTACTCTTCGCTCTAAATGTACCATGAAGCTGACTTTAGCCTTTTCAGTTGCAGTGTTGATTCCTTGGTGTTTGAAGTGAATGTCTGATCATATGAATGTCAAAGTTACAATGTACAGTAACAATGTGAATGCTCTCCGCCTTCACGCTGCCATGTGGGTCTAGTTTCCAAGCCTCGGGGGGGCAGCATTACAGCCAAAATGAGCAATTGTTTTAGGGTACTTTCCTCGTAATGAAATACATTTGTAGGCAGCTGTGTAAATAGACTGAGGGATAGATAACTGTAGCATCTATCTATCTATCTATCTATCTATCTATCTATCTATCTATCTATCTATCTAATGTTCGTCACACTGGAGAGTAGTGAGTTATTATTTTCGCTACGTTAAAGCACAATGAGATTTTACATTTACAGTTTAGAAAGTAGATATCAAGATGGAAGCTGCTGTAGATCTCAACAAACACACACTGTATATGTGAAGATGATGAGTGTTAAAGTTTCTGAATGTATAAAAAGACTTCTGAACATAATTATCAGCCTTGTGTAAAGAATCGTAGGAAAAGGCTTTAACTTTTTACTTTAGAGTGTCGTTAAATTACATTTGATTTTATGTTTGATTTTTGATATAAGGTCAATATTTATTTTTTACCAGCGCTGTAATAACACTTCAATGATGTCTTGAACGACTACTGGACAAAGAATGTGACCTCTGTCTTCCCTTTGCTTTTTCCATTGTGTTTATATAGCTATGAAATAATACTACAAACAACTGAATGATGTTTTTTATTTACAGTTAAACTGCTATCATTATGGATTGTATATTTGCTTGTTGCACCTTTTGCATGACACTGTCTTCTTTTCTTTTTTTCCTGACAGAATTATACATTAAATCTTTACCAGTGAAATCTCTCAAGTCTGGGTTTGATCACTTGAAGTAAAAAAGAACTACAAATAAGATAATCAAAGAAATTGAATAATGGTTTCCTGGATCTTCACAAGAAGAAAGGAGGAAATTGATTTGAACAGATACGGGATTGTTTCTATGCGAGACCAGCTTTAGCTAATTTGTCCAGTTGAATTCACTTACTGGGCTGACTCACTGAGCGTTGCCCACAATGATAGTGATCCTGAGG